TATTCGATCATAGGTGTCTCTGAATCATTGCTCGTTTGTCCTGAGAATATCGAGTAAGCAATGCTGTGGTTAGGGAACGGGTGCTAGGTAAGCATGGTAGATCAGTATATGAAGTATTGAAACTTCATCAGTTGAGGTGGTTGGTACATGTGTTACGTATGCCCAACCACCGACTGCCTCGTCGAGCTATGTTTCGTGCTGTAGGAGTTGGTTGAAACAAAGCTAGGATTGGCCAAACCAAAACATGGCACAAATCCAAGAAATCATTAACAAGTGGATGTATTTATGTGGGTAGATGTAGACCACCTGGTTGCGGTCAGCGAGAACATAGTAATCGATGGTTAGAGACCTTGAATGACATGGCTCAAAATTGCTTGTAGTTGCGCAAGTGCATCCACTATTTGTGTTCTCTGAAATTCTAATCTTCTGAAATCCTCATCTCCTCTATCCCCTTCTCTTTCTAAATTTATCTCACTGAAGCATACTTCTTGAATAATATCTTCGAACCCTAATCTTTTCCATTACCGCTAATGCTTCTACTATTTCTTTAACCATGGGATTTGGTTTGGTAATGGTGTGTCTGTTAATGTGGTATGTCAATTTGAGCCTATATACATACGTACGAAGTTTTGTTTTTCAGCTGCTCGACTGATTTTTTAACTACCACCGTCCCTACGGTTGATATTTGTCATTAAGTGCTAACCTGATGGAAGTCAAATTCTTGGGATCAGTCCATTATCGGTGAATTAGATGTTGTAGCTCCTTGTGAAATATAGTCCAATCACAAACGAACCAGTGATTAATCTGGTTCTTAATCTAAGATTACATTAAATGCCATTTTAGATAACTGGTAATATTGTGTCAGTGTGTTGACTCATAAGTACTTTGATACTAATTAAATCTAATTGTTTCAATCATCAAAATTTTTTGATACTAGATATTGGACTAATATAATCAAGGCCGTGGTAGTACTTAACTATCACTAAATCTATAAATCCCTTGAATGGCTAGCTTGAAATTAAAAATAACTATGTGGTGATTATGATTTTCAGTTAATTTAGATCGATAGCTATTAATCATTTTCTGGTTAGTGGTACTCTCGTTGTTATCCATGATTTTACTGCTATTTTTCTGTGGAATTATAGTGGTATAACCACCACTCACCAGTTGGAATAAATGTATTTGAAGTTATTCACTTTTCTTGTCATCTTCCTTTTGATTTGCTTCGTCATTATCCCTGGAAATAGCGAAAAAAAATATTAAAAAACTTATTATGTTGATTATGCTTACTCATTATCGTCTTCTGGCTTTGTCTGGTCACTATCAGCTGTTTCTTTATTCAATATTAGCTGATCGTCGTATAAATGTCGGTAGTCTCCAAGAATACCTATCCTTTTTTAAAATTTTCTCTGTATTATCATTAATAACATACATACTTTTCATTTTCTCCATCTGCATTAATCTCATTCATATGTATCCTTCAAAAATAAACATCATTGATTATCGAAAATGTCTTTTGTTATGATTACTTTCTTTGATTATTTTCAGTTTTATTCGGGTGAATCCTAGAAACGTTTTCTGCTGCATCAGGTAACAAAAGCCTTAAGGCTGGAGAGCATTTACTTGGAAATTAAAACAGTACTATTAATCATACTTTAGCATTGATGCTCGGGGTAAATGTGTATGATATATTTTGTTAATATTCTTACACTCATCTTTTTGACCAAAATAAGAAGCTCCTTGTCGTCCAAGCGAATTGAACATCTCTGATCTTGTAAACCTATCGGCAGAAAAGAAAGTATTTCAGTTTTGAAAAAGACTTTTATATAATTCGATACATATCTACAAATGTGAAGCTTTGCTAGCCCAATAAGAATGATATCCTTGTTTTGCCCAACCAATACTGGACTATATCTGTTTTTAACTGTAGTTAATTAGTGGTTAGATAAATGTACAAACTAGTATGAATCGTGAGTTTAAGATTTCTGTATATTTGAAGGTTAGTATTTTTTTTATTTTGATGGCCAACAACTCGTTCTAAAGCTTGGAATTAGCTTGCTTACAACCTGAAACTCAGTGTACTATCTGATCTATGCATAACTGAGATGTTACTTAGTGGTGTAAAGTGATAGTACGGTAATATAAAGAATATTTTGATTCCTGCTGGAGAGCTCATAGAGAGATAATGTATGATACATTTATTTGGCCTAGTCAAATCCATATTAAAATTGTAATACCTTAAATTCAGTACTGTTCATAAATTTTTCGTATCCTTTCGAGTATTCAGTGGTGCTGCATTTTTATTAATCGATATCAGGAGAGTACGGTCGAAATTCATTCGACCTACTTTAATTCTTACCTAAAACTTACACTAATTTTTTAACAAGTCGTTCCTAACCATTCTTACAATTCAAACTTACATTTATCTATACTTCTTAAACTTTTGTTACTTTAGTGGTGGTATATAATTTAAAATTTTTATATGAATTAGTTACCATCCAATTTGAGTACAGATTTCTTTAAACCTTGTTCGTAGAAATATTATCCACATACAAAAAACAAAAAACCAAAAGATCGTTTCATACAAATTTCGATCTGTTTTTGAAGTTGCTATTGGATCGATCGGTCTTGGACATGTATTAAACATGAGACTTCGTTCAAGTAATAGAAATTTAGCGTAGTCAAGTGAAAAATCATATTTTAATGAGTCTATTCGAATATGTAATTCCTCCTGTTCCTTTAACTGATTTATAGTGGGTAATCTAAAACAGAAGTTTTTTGAAATAAAAATTTCATAATCATAAAATTCAAAATAGGATTTTACAATTTTTCATCCGCAAATTTTTCTTCAAATTTCAATATATTGAAATAACATTCCAAGTATTTCGCTAAACTTATCAGTAGTTTGTCACACTCTGGTGACCTAATTTTAAAAAAAGGAACTGGTTGTCAAATATCCAACAGAAAATGTACTTGATCATTTTGGTAAAGTGTTGTGAATACTGGAAATTCTTGCCTGAAGCTTTTAGTCTTGTCAAAGCAACAGCTGTCTTTCCAGTAGAAAAATATAAAACTTACATTTTACGTCCTTTATAGTTATTTTGCGAATTCCATTCACGATTTTAATATTACTCTTCTTTTGGAGATTCCTGGTTATAACAATGAAAATTTATCTCATGTTCTACTTTCGTGAATAAATAGACTTTTGTGATTTTTGATTTGTAAATTTGATGAACACTAGTTCGTTTTTATCATCGATCCATTCAAATTTTCCTGTTGTCGGCTTAAAGAATAAAAATTATCATCTAATTAGGTTAAACACACCAAACTTAGTTCATTTTGCAAAGGATTTGTATTCATTATGTATTTCAGTGGTATCTGGAGAAACAAAGATAAACAGTTTGATATAATGTTTTGAGATACTATTGTATCGTACAAAAATAAAGGGTAAATACTGACTAGTTTGAAACTAGTTTTCATAACGAACTGATATCTCGTCATAGTTTATGACTAATTAGATTTGAGTTTGTGAGATCATGGGTGCGCATTGCCGAATACTCCTAATTATTTATAAAGTATTGTGATAATAATCTATTTGATATTATTTACACAATCAAGTCTTGAACACAAACAAATCACTGTACTGAAAATTGAAGTCCTTCTCATGTATGCATCTACCGCTAGTGACTTCGCATTTTCGATATAATTTTGAATTCCACGTGTATGTTTATTATCAGCTGTTAGCTTACTTGCTTACGCCTGTCACTCCAAATCGAGCATAGGCCGCCGACCATTTTTATCCATCCTAATTTGTCCTGGGATTCCCTTTTCGTTCATTCTTATCATGTGTCTCTCTATTTCTCGGCGTTATGTGTTTTTTGGCCTTCCTCTTTTCCTTCTACCTTGGGAGTTCCATGTGAGGGCTTGTCTTTTGATGCAGTTGGGTGCTTTCTGCAGTGTCCTATCCACTTCCACCGCTTCTGATTTCCTCCTCCGCTAGAACTAGGTTTGTTTTATCCCACAGTAGGTTGTTGCTGATAGTGTCTGACCAACGGGTTTGAATTATTTTTCGTAGACAACTGTTAACGAATACTTGGATCGTCTGCATGATGGCTTTTGTAGTTCTCCAAGTTTCCGCTCCATACAGTAGAACTGTCTCGACATTTGTATTTAAAATCCTGATTTTGGTGTTGATTGATATTTGTTTGGAGTTCCAGATATGTTTCAACTGTAGAAATGCAGCCCTTGCTTTGCCGATTCGTGCCCTGACATCTGTTCAGGATCCACCTTGATTGTCGATGATGCTGCCAAGATATGTAAAGGTGTTAACGTCCTCCAAGGCATCTTCATCAAGAGTGATTTGGTTGGCTCATGTTGTGTTGTATTGCAGGATCTTTCTTTTGCCTTTATGTATGTTGAAACCTACTGCTGCTACACCGGTCATCTTCTCTTGCACTTGTAGCGTGTGCGATAGTAGAGCCAGATCATCTGCAAAGTCCAAATTGTCCAGCGGCATCCTAGCTGTCCATTGGATACCGTGCTTTTTTCCAGATGTTGACGTCCTCATAATCCAGTCGATCAGCAGGAGGAACAGAAGGGGTGAGAGTAAGCAACCTTGCCTGACACCCGCCTTCATCTCGAACAAGTCTGCCAGCTGTCCTCCGTGCACGATTTTTCAGTTTAATCAATCATAAGAATTCTGTATGATGTTGACTATCTTCTCATGCACGATTTTTCAGTTTAATCAATCATAAGAATTCTGTATGATGTTGACTATCTTCTCATGCACGCCTGTCGAAAAAGCATCCATAGTGTTATCCTGTCCACGCTCACAAGTGCTTCCTCGTAGTCGATGAGGTTGATGTAGAGTGGCGAATTCCATTCAGTTGATTGTTCCATAATGATCCGTTATGTTGCAATTCGGTCACTACACGACCGATCCTTACGAAATTCAGCCTATTGGTCTCGAAGTTAGGCATCCACGAAGTCCTTCATTCTGTTTAACAATACCCTGTTGAAGACTTTGCCTGGTATTGAAAGAAGAGTGATGCCTCTGTAGTTCTCAAACATGCTGAGATCGCCTTTCTTTGGTATTTTGATGAGGTATCCTTCTTTCCAGTCTTTTGGTAATTGTTCTTCATCCCAGATCTTGTTGAAGAGAGTGTGAAATATTTTTACGGTTGCTTCCACATCTGCTTTCATTATCTCTGCTGGAATCTTGTCTAGTTCTGCCGCATTGCCGCTCTTGATTTGTCTGGTGGCTACTGTGAACTGTTCAATTGTTGGTGGGCCAACATTGATCGGGATGTACGTAGATGCTGCTGAGTGGGTTCAGTGGGGCTATTTTAATGCAACGAGACCTTGCGGTCAAAAAATCAGAAAAAGTCAAACACTACTTGATTGGAAAGCATTACTAATTGCTAGTCATTGTGAACAAATTAATTTTCATCTTATGTAGGTTTGTATATGGTTCCTGCTTGGTAATATTATTATCAATGTCTACATTCACTTGAGAGATTAAATGACGTAATTATCTTGATTTATTCAAAAAATAATTACAAACAGCGAAAAAAATAAAATTAAATTAAAAAAAATAAATAGTTCTGTTAGTCTTTGACATTGATGCTGGCTTCATTGGTTTGACTGAACACACCATATCTGAAGGCACTTAGTAATGCATCATAACCAGGTCATCGTTGACTACAACGTACGACGCATCTCTCACAGCACCTAGTCAATATATCAACTCTATTCTCAATATAGCTTCGGACTTCTGTATTAATGACTTCAAGTTTGGATGGGTTTCTGAACCTCAATTCTACAGACGTTACGAACAAAAACAGTCTCAAACCCTGAATATCCTTGATAAATTTCTACAAAAGCTGATACGAGTGACTAGTAATCAATTCGGCAGTCTTCATTGGTTTTTTCGAACATTTCACCAAGCTAATAAGTATTTTGAAGAAACACTGCCTATAAAGCATAAAGATCAATAAACATCAAATAAAATCTTGATTCCTATCTGAAGCCTTCATAAACATAACATTACCAATATATTCGAATGAATTTAATAAGCAAACTTTAAGCTACACAGTTTATTAGTAAACAAACTGCATCGACTTGTTCACAGAAGCGATGATTCACGTCGACATTATTAGAGGCTTGGTCCACACACCAAAAGCCTTTAAGCAGTAATATATAGCGTAAAACAACTGGTACCAGCTTGAATTCAGTATCTGAGTGGATGTTAACTTCTTCCCCGAAATCATATGACGTGTTTTAGGTACCAATAAAAAAAATAGGATTTGAAGCTTCAAATAAATTGAGCATTATGTGGAAAGTAATTGATAATAAAATTTTTATAATGTCTTGGTGATATCCCAATGAGTAGAGAACTAGTATTTCTGGCGTTTCGTGGCTTAATAATGCAATTTACTACTTCAGATCAATTAAATGAATAGCTGAAATAGATTGGCTCAAGTTAATTATTATCACATGATATATTGTTGCATGATTGCCAGGTTGTGTAAATTAGTACATCTACATTTGCAAACATTAGTTTGTTGTAAGGTGTGAAGGTTCATTATTAAAAGTTTGTTAAATCATGATCTCTAGAGTGTTGTATACTGAACTAGACTTGAGCAAATTCAAAGTGCAATTGGTACAATTATCTGAAAACTATTTTTTTGGTTTACCAGAGTAGATAAAACTTGTTAAATGCTACAGTCCCTCGTCGCTATTGACAATATTTTAAGTGATAGTATAATAATGTCAAACAACATGTAGAACCCATTTGGAAATATCATAGTAATAATCTCGTTCGTTTTGTCTTGTCACTTGGTCATACTTCCTACCTAGTTTGGCTAGAAGGTTATGGAAAGTGAGGCTTGGTCCGGGGAATTAAAATTTACCCTAACATAATTGATTTTATAGTCAATCAATAGGATAGCATATCTAATGAAACATGAAAGCGAATTTCAGAACTTCAATAATCCTATGAAGTGGGTGTGCCAATAGTGCATTCCTTCAATCTAGGCCTCTAATTTCTGTGTTTTGTCCTCAGGTTTTGTGTTGCGACCTAGCTTCCGCAGATATCCTACTGAGTATCCAGGGGGATACCACCCCTTAGTTGCATGTAATGTAGTGGATAAGAATCCAGTGATCTAAAGCATTTTTCGTAGGTGTCGACTCCTCATCCTCGAAGTTATCCCGCGGATCGCTTTTGGATACGTCCCAGAGCGTTGTCTTTTTCCAGTGAACGGAGAAACACGATATTTCCATATTCTAAATCCTTCCTTTGGTTGGCAGACGGATATATCTCCTACGCCATAAAAGTCGCAAGTTGGCGAAAGCTAGTCGAACCATTTGTAATAGTGCTGAGATTTCGTTACTCATCAGTCCATCAGCACTGATCAGACTCCGAAACTAAGTGAAACGGTCAGCACGCTCAACTACTTCACTTCATACCACTAGTTCAGGTAAACGAACAGAATATTTTCTCATTCTAAATGTGAGATGGATTAGGAAACGGGTACTAGGTAAACATGGCAGATTAGTTAATGAAGTATTGAAACTTCATCATTTGAGGTGGTTGGGACATGTATTACGTATGCCTAACCACCGACTGACTGATCGAGCTATTTTTTATGCCTTAGGAACAGGTTGAAAGAGAGCTATGGTTGGCCAAACCAAAACATGGCACAAATCCATGAAGTCACTGAAAAGTGGATTGAGTCGTGTTGGTAAATGTAGACTACCTGGTTGCGGTCCGCGAGATGATGGTAATCGACAGTTGGAGACCTTGAATGACATGGCTCAAAAACGCTTGCAAAGGCGCAGGTGCATTCACTCTTTGGTTTCTCTTAAATTCTCCTCTTCTGGATTCTTCATCTCTTTTAATGTTCATTTTTTTACGTTTATTCCAATAGACTAACTATACTTTCTGAGTATTATCTCTGAACTCTATTCTCCGATTACTGCTAATACTACTACTAATCTCTACAACCATGGGATTGGGTTTGACAATGGCATCTCTGTGCTAATGTGGTATGGCAACCTGAACTTCTCCATGTATGTATGAAGTTCTGCGTTGCAACTAACTGAATGATTTGATATCAGGGGGTTTAGGAAGGAGTTGATTGTGACCGATTGGGCCTCGTGTACTTCGGTTGTCACTTCCCGGATGCCCACACAATGGAAAGGTATTTCTCGAGGAACCTGTAAAAGAAATCGGATTAGTGTCGACCTAAGCGCGCAAGCACAAAGCCCAAGGAACAACTGCTTCAGGCCGGTCACGCACAGACTCTTTTTGGGAGGTTTTCAGTGTTAGCTCTGTTCTTCAAGCAGCCTTACCGCCGGAGACGGAAATCCGTGAGGTAAACTGAGTTGTGACATTTTTAGGGTCGACCTTTTCTAGCCGCTTCCTTCCTTGTGAGAAGGCAGCATCGCTGCAGATGCTGGTCGACTGATTGAAACACCTTACTGCTGTCACACCCCTCTACAGTCGGCCGTACGACTTCGCCCTCAGAACTTGAGTTGCTGCTTTTAGTCTCACCTTCTACAATCGACCTGCCTTGCATGGTAGAACCTACAGGAGCCTATGTTCCAGCCAAGATACCTCGGTTGGGTCATGACGATAGGCAAGCCCGACCACCACGTCATGGTGGCATCTACGGTCGGGATATGGGACTATTGTGCAATTTAAACGTTCATTTAAAAACTTTTGGAGTCAAAGTACACATAAGGCTTAGGAGTTTTTCCGGTATATGCAATTTACTCAGAAACAACAAGAACACGGAGGAAACTATAGACCACTACCTTAATAAGTTTTCTAGCTTAATTTGTAAATACCAGCAAATACGAATTGACAAATATACTCAGAAACTGATAGCTTAATGAAACGTTGGGTAATCCCTGTTTTACTCAAGGTCACTCTACGAATCATAATTACATCAGGGAGTTAATTGATTAGCATTACACGTTCACTCGTTAAACATACCTAGTTACTTACAGGTAGGCATCGGTGGCCGACGTTATGGAGAATAAGAAGGGTCTCTAATGAAAGCTTGTTTGGATCTAGTTTAGCGGAAGCGTCTGACTTCGGATTTTCCTTCAGCTACTCACCGTAGAAGCAACATTGTACAAGTAAACAGTTGGTCAAAAGCAAATTTAAAATAACCATTCGTTCTACTCTGTATTGTACGGTATCCAATCAGATATCTCATCAAAACATGTGGCTGAAACCCAAACCCTTTAAATGTGCGATAAGACATATAAAGAGAATCCAGTTAAAACATTTATCGGAAAGTTATATATGTGTACACTTTCAGTTCTTCCTGCAAATCTTTTGTTCCCACTATTTATTCCACATGTTTGTGGAATGTTCAGGATAATGATAAACTTGTGTATCATTATGCATTTAGATAATACGGAGCATGATACTACACTTTTTAATGCTATATTTCTTCTCAAAAATTCCACTACCTTGTGGTTTGAAATGACAGACTCCCTTGAATCCGTTTAAAAATGTGCCAGTTCTAATGCCATAGCAATGGTAGTGGCGGTAACCTCAGACGCAAGAAGTCTCTGCGAAAATTAATTTTATATACATCTAATCCGATTCATGGAGTTCGTACGATGACCAAATATTTGTTTGAATCATTCAATGTTCACCGATGTTTTCAATCTGTGCCGTGCATGTTTTGCTCAATAACTGTAGTCGATATATAGGAGTCTCCTTTTTTGTACTGGAAGTCCTATTGTATGCATTCAAATCTTATTATCTACATTTTGGATCTGGTGCCCTTGTGGAGGAGGTGTTGATATTATTCGGTTGGTTTTCCTCAGACATTGCAAAGCGTTTTTTTGGTTCTTTTATTCCTGATCCTTCGGTTAATTTTAAAACAGTACCCATATCCTGCCTTATTTTTTATGTGCCGTCGATCCTAGGTGTCGTTTTCTTTTTGTTCTGGCAATCTTTTGTTACTCGGATAGAAGTTGTTACTTGTATTGTTCTTCTGTGTTTCAACTGTCTTCAGTTCGTTACATACCTAGGAGTTATAATCCCTAATAGAAAAAAATCAAAACAAGCATAGTACCTGGACGAACTACTTCATGTCATCTCACAGTAACTTTTCGTTACCCCCTTTCGAATTTAACCACTTCTCGTCCTATAACCTTATTGTTGCTTGTGTCGGTGTGGGTAACGTAGCCCAACTTGCGTGCGACCTCTTAATCTATAACTTGGGTTGTAATATTGTTAGTAATTTAAATTTCGAATATTGTCCGTCTGTAATCGGTAATAATCCTTATCAAACATCGGAAAATGTGCAGAGTTTGATGACAACCTCTCAGGTATGTTTCCTTTTAGGATCTTGTATAATATTTCAAAGTTTTATAGTGACTTACATATGCTATTTTTAAGTTTACTTCTATACCATAATGTGTACAATATATGACCAATTAACTGAGCACTTCAAACTTGGAATTGTCGGGCCGAATCTGTGAATTATTTGTCTCTGAGGAAAGGCTTAACTCATTACGTTTCTAAATTATTATTTAATAGTAGTCGAAGTAATCATCCCCATACGTACAGTGCTAAAGTAAATCTCAAATCTTTCTATGGACATTTCAGATGTTTTAACTACTTCGTCTGCTAAAAGGTGTCACTGTCTGTTGATCATGGTCACAAACGTCTGTGCACCTGTTCATGTTCTATGTTAAACGAATACCCATTTAAGTCTAGTGTTAAGATGTGTTAGTAATCCATTTCGATAAAAGGAGTTGTGAAGACGAAATTCCTTGTCATCATATCCTCCAAAATCCTGTGCTACACAGATTGCAAATTTTAAGCACCAAGACAATTTGAAAGAGGTTTATTTTTTGATCCGTATACGTTTTTGGTTGCCATCTTTAGATAAATTTTAAGAGGGCGGTAAAATGAGAAATGTAGAAGATTTATGGGGGTGATGTCTTAGCTAGGCTGAAAGTTTTCAGATAAATTTAAAATGAGGCTAGACGAAGTCCTGGAAGGAAATCCGAGGACAATATTTATTTTTTGTTGCAGAATTACAGCTTTTTTAAGGCACAGAGTAGTGGCCATGTCTTTTGTGGTGAAAAATGTCATATTAGAATCATCTACTAGTTAGGATTGAAAGAGTATTAGTGTTATGACAGTCAGTCAGTTGCAAAGTAGCCATACTACATTAACACAGAGACGCAAATGTCACATCAAATCCCATAGTGATAAAGATAGTAGAGGTATTAATGGTTATGAAGAGGACTAGGGTTTGAAGATATTATTCAAGAGGCATAATTCAGTTAGATAAGGTTAGAAAGACAAAGGTAGAAGTGTTGAATTCAGAAGATTAGGATTTGAGAGAGCTCAAAGAATGGATACACTTGCGCCATTGCAAACGATTTTGAGCCATGTCGTTCAAGGTCTCTATCCATTGGTGACTTTCGTCTCGCGGACCCCAACCAGGTGGCCTACATCTACCAACATGACTCAGCCCACTAGTCAGTGACTTCATGGATTTCTGCCATGTTTTGGTCTGACCGCCCCTAGCTTTCTACCAAGCTACTCCTACACTACAAAACATAGCTTTTCGCGGCAGTCGGTGGTTAGGCATACGTAACACATGTCCCAACCACCTCAACTGATGAAGTTTCAATACTTCATATACTGATCTACCATGCCAACCTAGCACCCGTTCCCTAACAACAGGATTGCTTACTCGGGAGTCCCACAATACTCGAGCAATGCTTCGAAGACACCCATGATCGGAAACCAGTAACCTACGAATATCTTCTACTCTCATTGGCCGTTTCACAGCCATAAAGTAAGACGGAGCGAACCACTGCGCAGTACACTCGTCCTTTAGTCAGCAAACGGATATCTCGCCTACGCCATAAGTGACGCAGGTTGGCAAAAGCCAATCGAGCCTTCTGCATCCGAGCTGAGATTTAGTCAGTCACCAGGCCATCGGCATTGATGAGACTCCCAATATAAGTGAAGCGGTCTATACGTTCGACTACTTCACTCCCTATCACTAGTTCAAGTGCCGATGCAACCCAGTCTAGAAGCAACATTTTGCATTTCGAGGGTGAAAACCGCATCCCGAACATGCTTGCATCGTTGCTTAGGGTAGTCAGAAAACTCTGCATTTTATCAGCGTCTTCACCAAGTAGGACAATGTCATCGGCATATTCTAAGTCAATAAGCGAGCCAGCAGGTAAAAGGTCTACTCCTGAAAATTCAGACGAGGATAAGGTTATTTCTAGGAGCATGTCTATGATAAAATTAAACAAAAATGGAGAAAGTGGACATCCCTGACGGACACCACTTGATGTAGAGAATTCCGGTGACAGTTCGCCATAAGTTCTAACTCGACCTGTAGTGTTCGAGTAGAGAGCATGTATCAGGTTAATGTACTTCTTTGGTACACCTTTCAATGACAGACACTGCCACTGAACCTCGCGATCGACAGAGTCGTATTCCGCCCCAAGGTTCAGGAAGATAACTATTGTCGGGCGCCTAAATGTGTGTCTGTGTTCGAGGACCTGTCGTAGTGTGAAGGCTAACACTTTAGAAACTATATTAGTTAGACTTATTCCCCTGTGATTGTCACAAGAAGATTTATGTCCTTTCTTGTAGATTGGGACAATTAGCGACTGAGACCAGTCGGATGGGATTACGTCCAGTTCCCAGATTGTACCTAGGATCTCGGTCAGTCTAACTTTCAAAACTGAACCACCATCCTTAAACATCTCAGGGGTAAGCCTATCAGGACCTGCTGCTCTACTTCGCTTTAGATTTCCTATAGCTTTCTCAACTTCATGTAGACTGGGAGGACGTAAATCGATTGGCCATTCAGGGTGACTGGGGATCGTGGGCAACCGAAGTGTGGCTCGAGGCCAGTTGAACTGATGCCTAAAGTGTTCTGCCAATCGATCCAATCTCCTGGATCGAGAATGAATGATACAGCCATCCTTTCCTGAGATAGTCCCACTTACATTCCGATCTCCAGTCAGTCTGAAAAGTTGTTCACTGTTGCCTGCTGCCGCTGCTCGACCATGTCTTGCTTTCGCTACCCACCATTGTTGACGGTCGTTGCGTAGGCTTTTTATCAGCCTTCGCCTAAGCTGACTCCGCTCCTCAGAGCCAGGCTGGATGAGCTTTCGAGCATCTATTAGTTCAGTAAATGCATCTGGAATACACGGGCAGTCTTTAATAGAGTCTCTCCACCGGTGGATCATAGCGATGTGATCTAGTTGGGGACTTAGCGTTGTGACGACTTTGGGGGTCTCCAGATGAAAGGTGTTTTACCTTATGCCTAAAGTTAGTGTTAGCTAGAAATAGGCACTTATCTGAACATATTTGCAACAGACGATCGCCATTATCTGTTGTCTGAGCCGCGACACTATAACATCCACATAGGTGTCTTTCCTGCTAACTTAGTCTACCTACTTGAGCATTAAAGTCGCCAGCTATTGTTACAATATCAGAGCGCCTAATGTTTTGGAGGTCCCAAAGCTTTCTGTAGAACTCATCTTTCATATCGTCTGGAATGCAGTCATTGGGGGCGTAGGCTGATATGACGAAGAGGCAACGACGAGTGTCCCTATCCTTTCGAATCCTTACTGTCCCGTTTAGTCGGAAGGCGCACAAGCGATTATCTACAGGGATCCATTCAAGGAGAGATTGTTCTGCCCTACGACTCAATACTGTACCTACACCAGCGAGTCCCCGGGAAACAGCATCAGGGCTACCGGAAACACGAAGGGTAAATCGAGTTGCTTCTTTGTTTTGAAAAGGCAAAATCAGATTAATGACTTTACTAGGATCATGTATGCGCGTTTCCGAGACGCAGCATACATCGATGGCACGAGATTCTAAAGTCCTAGCTAATGATGCCTGTTGCCCTATTTGACACAATGTCCGTACATTAAATGCTCCAACATGTAGTGTAGAACGGGGTTTCAGGAGACCAGAAATGACGTTTCGTGAGCTCGCATCGTTTGCATTAGCTGTGCAGTGTGATAAAGGAATGTGAGAAGAGTTAGTCGTGGAGATAAGAGAGGTGTGTGTTGGTGTAGGAAGGATTTGATTTCGACCGATTCGCTTTCGTGCGTTATTACTGGTATGAGGGTGGTAGTCACTTCCCGGCTGCCCACACCGTGGAAGGTTGTTTCTAGAGGAACCTGAAAAGGAAGGTATATTAGCGTTGGTCTTAGAGACCTGGGTGCGTGACCGCAGAGCCCAAGGGACAACTGCTTGAGGCCGGTCACGCACGGCCTTTTTATGAGAGGTTTTTTGAGTGTTAGCTCCGCTTTTGAAAGCCCTTAGTGGGCACCCTTACCGCCGGAGATGGAAATCCGTGAGGTAGGGTGAGGTGTGACATTTTTAGGGTCGACCTTTTCTAACCCTTCCTTCCTTGTGAGAAGGCAGCATCGCTGCAGATGCTGGTTGTCCTAGGGAAACACCTTACTGCTGTCACACCCCTCTTCAGTCAGCAGTAAGACTTCGCCCTCAGACCTTGGGTAGCTGCTTTTAGTCTCATCGTTCTCCAATCGACCTGCCTTGCATGTTAGAACCTACAGGAGCCTATGTTCCAGCCAAGATACCTCGGTTGGGTCATGACGATAGGCAAGCCCGACCACCACGTCAAGGTAGCAGCTTCGGTCGGGATTAGTTATATGTACCAGCATTTTGCCTTTGCTAATATTGCACAAAGGGTTTCCGCTGTTTGACCTAACTAATCAATCAGCAGCAACGAAACTTAATATAAGTGTGACGTAATATCCCGCCCAAATTCTAAAATCATCTGCATGTAGTAGGATTTAAGCTCTTAGATTGCTAGACAGATCTTTAGTAAAAAGAGCATTGATCCTAGAGTTGAACTCTGGCATTTCAATCGTCCTTTAAAACTAGTTAGACAGCTACGTGATCTCCCCTTGAAGTAACCTAAGGACTGTTGAACTACCGCTATTCGCTGCTGATATGGGTGAGCAATTTAATAATCTGCCGTATCGCAAATTTTGAAATCTAGCATTTCTATGTGCCCTAAGTGAGAGGGTCTAACTATTCCAGTCAGTATTTGTTACACGATCTGCGTGGAAGGATAGCATATTTACTGAATATTCAGTGAATAGTCGTGAAGGGAGTCATCTGTAGATTTTTTTATAACTACTCCGACGGTCTAGAAAATTTGGTCGCCACTGGAAGCTTCGACTCTGCTACTCACTTAGTATGTGTATGTAACTACAACCTCACAATTAATCAACGCTGTTAGCTTGTAATTCATTGTTTTCTCATCACTTGATTTCCCTCATTAGTCTTTATTCCGATTATTATAAACTGTATTTGTTCTCGTTTGCAGATTTGTGCTAATCCCGAACTTCAGTTAGCTGTGTTACAAATTCGAGCCCCTCCCTTTGACGGTTGTAAACGAAAGCATGTCAAAGAGCTTGTAAACTTTCTGGAATCTGCGAAGTTTAAAACTGTGGTATTGCTCTCAAGTAGCTTTGCGTCTATTCTCAAAGTAAGTTAGTTTTTCATTAAGCTATCAGTTTCTGAGTATATTTGTCAATTCGTATTTGCTGGTATTTACAAATTAAGCTAGAAAACTTATTAAGGTAGTGGGCTATAGTTTCCTCCGTGTTCTTGTTGTTTCTAAGTAAATTGCATATACTGGAAAAACTCCTAAGCCTTATGTGTACTTTGACTCCAAAAGTTTTTAAATGAACGTTTAAATTGCACAATAGTCCCATATCCCGACCGTAGATGCCACCGTGACGTGGTGGTCGGGCTTGCCTATCGTCATGACCCAACCGAGGTATCTTGGCTGGAACATAGGCTCCTGTAGGTTCTACCATGCAAGGCAGGTCGATTGTAGAAGGTGAGACTAAAAGCAGCAACTCAAGTTCTGAGGGCGAAGTCGTACGGCCGACTGTAGAGGGGTGTGACAGCAGTAAGGTGTTTCAATCAGTCGACCAGCATCTGCAGCGATGCTGCCTTCTCACAAGGAAGGAAGGGTTAGAAAAGGTCGACCCTGAAAATGTCACAACTCAGTTTACCTCACGGATTTCCGTCTCCGGCGGTAAGGCTGCTTGAAGAACAGAGCTAACACTGAAAACCTCCCAAAAAGAGTCTGTGCGTGACCGGCCTGAAGCAGTTGTTCCTTGGGCTTTGTGCTCGCGCGCTTAGGTCGACACTAATCCGATTTCTTTTACAGCTTCCTCGAGAAGTACCTTTCCATTGTGTGGGCAGCCGGGAAGTGACAACCGAAGTACACGAGGCCCAATCGGTCACAATCAACTCCTTCCTAAACCCCCTGATATCAAATCATTCAGTTAGTTGCAACGTAGAACTTCATACATACATAGAGAAGTTCAGGTTGCCATACCACATTAGCACAGAGATGCCATTGTCAAACCCAATCCCATGGTTGTAGAGATTAGTAGTAGTATTAGCAGTAATCGGAGAATAGAGTTCAGAGATAATACTCAGAAAGTATAGTTAGTCTATTGGAATAAACGTAAAAAAAGGAACATTAAAGGAGATGAAGAATCCAGAAAAGGAGAATTTAAGAGAAACCAAAGAGTGAATGCACCTGCGCCTTTGCAAGCGTTTTTGAGCCATGTCATTCAAGGTCTCCAACTGTCGATTACCATCATCTCGCGGACCGCAACCAGGTAGTCTACATTTACCAACATGACTCAGTCCACTTGTTTGATTTGTCTATGGCATATCTGTGCTCATGTGACGCGGCAACTGGCAGCGATGTACATACGTACAAAGTTCTCCTCTGTAACTGAATGACTGACTGATTATTGTAAACTTGATAATGAGTATCTAACTGAAAACAGTATTTTATGTTGTTTTCATTCGCATAAAATGAATTCCTAGTACTAGATTAGTAAGTCGCCATCGTTAGTTGTTAATTTCTGCCTGGTTTTCGTTAATCTCAGTACTCACATATTTTTGATCAACTATCGATCAGATAAAAACACTCCTAACTTTAATATAATCAATTTAATTGTAAGCCTTGTGCACCGCTCACTCAAAAGAATTAGGATTATTTTGTCTTTGAGCACTTCTGTCCCTCCAGTTTCTCTTAGCTTCGACAACAATTATTTTTCAAAATTGGTAATATCTGGGCTCAATTTTGAAAGCGTAATTTATATACTGACCCTTAAATCTGTGAAGGCCTTGTATGTCATACATCTATTTCACTGGTTTCATTCTTTCACAGGATGAGGAGCTTAACGCGGAGCCGCTGCAGTATGCTTTGTCGTCGTCATTTTGTATTTCCGATCGTAAACGTTTTGAGGAACTCAATTGGTTTCCCCTTAAAGCATACAATGACCACTCAGAATGTAAATTATCTGCTACATATTATTTACCTGGGTGTGGAGTTGCAACTTATTTATATGATGAGTTACTCAAAAATGAAGGCATATCTGTTTGTCTGTTAAATCTTTTTACATCTGAAGGTGATAATAGTGGAGATGCACTTTATGTCGTGCGACGTTTGGATGATTGGTTACAACTCACAGCCCAACGTGAAGTTAAAAAACCAAGTTTTCACTGGTCTGCCCCTCCCTCTTGGAGCTGTTTATTTGGAAGTGATCCCATTAATGAATTATATTAGACTTTTATTAAGTATTATCAGTAAGTTTGTGCACTGCTTTATGAGACCATGGATACTACCAAGTCAAAAGCACTAACGATCATTAATAAATTAGTTGTTTAAAACCATGATTCCGAACTTTAGAGATACTACTAAAAGCCTGATTTTGTCTGCATATTTTTGGTATAAGAGTTCCCATCTAGTACAATGCGCGACTTGTGCGAAACATTTATGATCAGTTCTACATTCTTACGACTTAAATAAAGATTGTACCTAAACTTTAGTAGTTTTCCAACAGTAGTATTATTCCGCAAATATGACAATAATATTATTTATTTTTGTAATATATGCTGGTATGTAATAACAATGTTGGCTTGTTCATTTGACTAGCTAGAAAAAAGTCTTCTCTTTTTTCCTGTTTCTTTGATTCGAACATTTGTAAGTCAAAGTATCAGTAGCAAATATATGTTACCCACAACGGTAGTCGTCAAACGATTTTGTGTGGAACTACTATCATGTAAATAATCTAAACTTGGTTAATTATTTCAACACATACATTAGTGCGAACGTGCACCAACATTCATATGCAGTACACAAATACGAGAAATGAATCGTTAAAAAAAACAAAGTAAAGAGGTTATGAATCAGAAACCGAAAGAAGATTCTGTGCTTAATCATTTGCAGATAAAGGCTATTAGGTTAGCTGATTTTGACAGTGACAGCAATCAGCATAGTAAGCCATATGCTTTTTACAGTCATGTTAGGCAGCATTATGTCATGCAGCTATGTCACAGTGTGGGCCGTCAAATCACGCATCCAAACAACGGATGCAGAACGTAACCAGCGTTAACAAAACATGAAAAAATAGTTGCTTGGAACTGTTATATGTGATAAACTCCACCTGTAGACCCTTCGGGGCTATTGCCGGTCTCAAGCCTGGGTAAAGGAGGACGGTTGACATGACGTCTCATGATGAATGCCAAGTTCCTTAGGTAGTTATGAGGCCGATGTCTCTTCGACGGTGTGGGCAGCCGGGAAGTTCCATCCGCCCTCATACCCATAAAAGCACACTAGACCAAATAGATCACAATCAAATCCTTTCCACACCTAATAACTCCCTTATCTCCTCGACCAACTCTTCCTCCAAATCACTTCGTGCCACTGAAGCAAACCGTTTGAGCTAACGAAACGTTCCTGATCTCTTGAAACCCCGTACTAAATTACATATAGGAGGTTTTGATGTTCGGACCCTACGCCAAATAGGGCAACAGGCCTCATTAGCTGGAACTCCTGATTCCAGTGCCATCTGTTGCGTCTCCCAAACACGCCAACAGGACCCCCAATAAGTTCATTCATTTTACCTCACTTTGTCAAGATAAAGAACTAACTCGGTTCACGCCTTGTGTTTCGGGTAGACCTGATGCTGCCTCTAATGGCCTCGCAGACGTAGGTATAGTATTATGTCCTAGGTCAGAACAAGTTCCCGAAAGACAGTCGCTTATGCGCTATCCAACTAAACGGGACGGTACGGACTCGGAAAGATAGGGACACTCCCCGTTGCCTCTTCGTCATATCAGCCTACGCCCCCACTGACTGCAGTTCAGACGAGGTTAAAGATGAGTTCTACAGAAAGCTTTGGGACCTCCAAAACGTTAGGCGCTCTGATATTGTAACAATAGCTGGCGACTTCAATGCTCAAGTAGGTAGACTAAGTTAGCAGGAAAGACACCTATGTGGATGTTATGGTAGTGCGGCTCAGACAAACGATAATGGCGATCGTCTTTTGCAAATATGCTCAGATAAGTGCCTATTTCTAGCTAACACTAACTTTAGGCATAAGGTAAAACACCTTTCATCTGGAGACCCCCAAAGTCGTCACATCGCTATGATCCACCGGGGGAGAGACTCTATTGAAGACTGCCCGTGTATTCCAGATGCATTTACTGAACTAATGGATGCTCGAAAGCTCATCCAGCCTGGCTCTGAGGAGCGGAGTCAGCTTAGGCGAAGGCTGATAAAAAGCCTACGCAACGACCGTCAACAACGGTGGGTAGCGAAAGCAAGACATGGTCTAGCAGCGGCAGCAGGCAACAGTGAACAACATTTCAGACTGACTGGAGATCGGAATGTAAGTGGGACTATCTCAGGAAAGGATGGCTGTATCATTCATTCTCGATCCAGGAGATTGGATCGATTGGCAGAACACTTTAGGCATCAGTTCAACTGGCCTCGAGCCACACTTCGGTTGCCCACGATCCCCAGTCACCCTGAATGGCCAATCGATATACGTCCTGCTAGTCTTTGTGAAGTTGAGAAAGCGATAGGAAATCTAAAGCGAAGTAGAGCAGCAGGTCCTGATAGGCTTACCCCTGAGATGTTTAAGGATGGTGGTTCAGTTTTGAAAGTTAGACTGACCGAGATCCTAGGTACAATCTGGGAACTGGACGTAATCCCATCCGACTGGTCTCAGTCGCCAATTGTCCCAATCTACAAGAAAGGACATAAGTCTTCTTGTGACAATCACAGGGGAATAAGTCTAACTAATATAGTTTCTAAAGCGTTAGCCTCGATAATCCTTAGACGCAAAACTAGACCTCGTGAAGAGCAGACTCGAGAAAACTAGTCTGGTTTAGACCTGGACGTGGCTATGTAGACCACATCTTCACACTACGACAGGTCCTCGAACACAGACACACATTTAGGCTTCCGACAATAGTTATCTTCCTGAACCTTGAGGCGGAATACGACTCTGTCGATCGCGAGGCTCTGTGGCAGTCTGTCATTGAAAGGTGTACCAAAGAAGTACATTACCTTTATACAAGCTCCCTACTCGACATTACAAGTCGAGTTAGAGCTTATGGCGTACTGTCATCGGCATTATTTCCTTCGAGTGGTGTCCATCAGGTGTGTCCGCTTTCTCCAATCCTCACCAATTTTGTCAGACTTGCTACTACATCAAACATTATGTTCGTCTCCATATTCGGGAGTAAATCTTCTGCCAGTAGACTCCCTCATTTACTTAACCATACTGAGACCTGTCACTTAGCACACCTAACTACTTTACGATGACCGCATTGGTCCCAACCACGTAGTCTGCACCCACCTACAAAGTTCAGTCCATTTGTTAATGACTTCACTGTGCTGTCGCTTGAGCACACTAATGTCACGTGTTATATTGTCTAGTCGGAATTCCGACTATAATTTCCTCGATCTCGCGTCTACTATTCTATTTATAGTTTAGTGTCGTATACTTGACCAATCATACTTCTGACCATGTTGTCATGAAGAAAATCCGTTTAGCAAGTCACTAACACTTCAATCACCTGGACCTATTCCGGAATACAAGTTTTCGCGTAGGTACCAAGGTATATTTAACGAGTGGACGAGTAATGTTAATCAATTAACTCACTGATGTTATTATGATTCGTAGAGTGACCTTGAGGAAAACAGTAATTACCCAACGTTTGGAGATTCGGCTATAGGAAAATACTGCTGTGAGTTCTTAAAAGTATATTAAGTTTGCTCTAATGAGCTCTTGGGAAGTCGTCTAAACGAGCTAGGCTGGCGATGAATTAAAGTTTGACTAATTGTGATCAATAATACATCGACTTGTGCACGATAGCGGTGATTCACGTCGACATTATTAGAGGCTTGGTCCACACACCAAAAGCCTTTAAGCAGTAATATATAGCGTAAAACAACTGGTACCAGCTTGAATTCAGTATCTGAGTGGATGTTAACTTCTTCCCCGAAATCATATGATGTGTTTTAGGTACCAATAAAAAAAATAGGATTTGATAGCTTCAAATAAATTGAGCATTATGTGGAAAGTAATTGATAATAAAATAATTAAAATGTCTTGGTGATATCCCAATGAGTAGAGAATTAGTATTTCTGGCGTTTCGTGGCTTAACACTGCAATTTACTACTTCAGATCAATTAAATGAATAGCTGAAATAGATTGGCTCAAGTTAATTATTATCACATGATATATTGTTGCATGATTGCCAGGTTGTGTAAATTAGTACATCTCCATTTGCAAACATTAGTTTGTTGTAAGGTGTGAAGGTTCATTATTAAAAGTTTGTTAAATCATGATCTCTAGAGTGTTGTGTACTGAACTAGACTTGAGCAAATTCAAAGTGCAATTGGTACAATTATCTGAAAACTATTTTTTTTGGTTTACCAGAGTAGATAAAACTTGTTAGATGCTACAGTCCCTGGTCGATATTGACAATATTTTAAGTGACAGCATAATAATGTCAAACAACATATAAGTGTGGTAAGTTACAATTTACAACTAACCAAAATAAGTAGAGGCTTTGATAAGAAAGTTAAACATTTATGCTTGTCATTGATTATCGCTCAGAATGGTGTTTCTTAGCGAATAAATATTATGTTTGATGAAACTTATAGGTACTGTTTGTTTACTGTCACACCTGTGATATGCTTGTATGCTAGCTAGTGACGCAACTATTACAAAATATCTCCAAGCACTTTCACTTTCCCCAATTAATCCATGGATCAAATGACTTGGATTGACGAACATGTCAAGCAAGTAGGATTCTTTCGGAATTCTGGCATTTCCTTAAAACATTCTGATAAACTGAGAAAGCATGACCAGTAGTTCATTATTTGTCGTTTGCTGAAGCACAAAAATCTATCATTCAAACTAAAACTCATCGACATGGTTTAGCTAAATTTACTGTAACTGTCAACAGGGAAAATCACTGAATCGCTAAATTAGCACTTACTAGCGCATTTATTCCTTTACTTTTTCAATTGAACCCATCGAGTGATTTATCGTACTTACAACATCATGAGTTCACATTTGATCGTAACGTGACAAAATAACCAGTTGTTTTGCCGAATTCGTAGTTACATTTATTGGTTGTCAGTCAAGTGATGTTCTCATTATGACTTGATGTGTATCGGTAAGACATGATTTAAACTAAGTACGAAATAATTTTATACATAGGATTAGTTATGAATAAGGATTCCCGAATTCAGCAAATCAACAT